AGATCCCAGTTGGAGTATGCATCACCAGTTTGGTCCGCTCTTCCAAAGATATTATCAGACCTTATTGAGTCGGTGCAAAAAAGAGCTTTAAAAATCGCGTATCCCCATCTATCTTATGATGGAGCATTACACAAAAGTAACATTAAACTACTGAGTACAAGAAGAGAAGAAGCATGTAGGAAATTAATTAACTCACTTCGAGACCAAGATTCGCCAGACAACCCTTTAACTGCAATAGTTAAATCCGGTCTACCAGACCGAACTCATAATTATGATCTGCGTAATAATAATCCGCAACTCTTACCGATTATGTCTGAACGGTTAAAGAACTTTTTTACCATTAAGTATAGTTAACATTTTATTAATACATTTTTATAATAGGTAGTTAATAATAAGTATATAACATTGTTAACGTAAATTTTAATGTTTAATATTGTAAATATCCTTTCCATGCAATTCAACTTTAGCTGCAAAATGGATTTTATTAAACTAATAATAATAATAATAATAAGTTAAATTTTACCGATTAAATCATAGCTCACAAAATGCAAAATAAAATAGCTACAGTATACATTTCGGAAATTTATTGTTGTATAGTTAAAAGTACGAATCTTTCAACTATTTTTCAGTTTTGTACAAAAAATATGAATAAATTATGATATAAGAATATCGTGTTGTCATGGCAAGACATGAGCGCGAGCCTGCGTGTACTTTATTTTAATTTAATGTTTGGAAATATTGGCTAGGGTTTACAGCATGCATGTATTTCTAGTAAATAATTTGGTTGAACTACTATAACGACAATACTCAATAGCCCGCCGACATACCGCAAGTAGTATAGGTATATGTGAACCTGGCTTTCCTGTTTAAGCATTTAAAAGTCTGTGCTTTATCACATGAAACACTCCAGCTGCGCTCTCGTATTTTATATCTGACAAAACACTCCTGCTCGCGTTTTAATCCCCGAGCCGACGGAACGAAGCACCGTTCTAGTGTAGTAATTCCGCCCGGCTATTTACACCCGGGGAAAGGAACGCACTAGCGAAGTCTAAAGCACTGATCTATATACATGGAAGGCTGACTTCAGTTATTGACGTAATCAAAAAGTGAAGCCAAAGATGGCGGATTTTGAAGCCATACTTGCGCGTCATTCTCAGTCCCATTACGTGCGCGGCAAAACATTTTTTTATATTTTCATGGCGGGAAGTGATGGGTTCGCGACTCTCTTTCATTCGAAAACAGAAAAAAGGAAATAAACTTAATTTATTTCATGTAAACCTGATTTCCTTCATCTAATCGATCTGTCTACTGCATTTAATTTCCCACTGTATGTGTGAGCAAATCTGTATTTTTCGTTGCGAATTCAACAACTAATTTCAAACTTTCTTTGTTTTTTTTATATAAAATCTGTATTTTTATAAACTGGAAATTTATTTTTGCTTTTGTTGTTTCGTTTTCTTGTTTCTATGGTGCTTTTCAGTTTTCACACCATTATTGAGCTTATTTTAGTCCGTTTTCCTGACCTAAAACTGCTTTTTAACTGCAGTTTTCGAGGCAGTTTTTAGCCAATTTAATTCCATACCTACTTTATATATTTTAAAAAGTTATCATGTTGCCATGACTAACATGACGTGGCAATGCGAGCCTGCGTTCTGTGTTGGCGTATTTACGAATACTTCATGTTAAAACAATGTTTGGAGAATATAGGCGAGGGGTTGTTGCATGCATGTATTTATAGTTTTTTTTTTATTTAATAAAATCACTTTGATGATTGCCTTATAAACTTAAACTGTTCATTTTAATGAGTTATTTATGTGTGTGAAACTCTTGTCGATAGGGCAATAGAGATACTTTTGAAAGATTGAGTGACGTTGTGTTTTGTTTTGTCACTTTTTGTCATTTACAAAAACAGCAATCTCGCGCTATTTTGCTTTCTTTCCACTCAAATATCGCATCTTTTAAATAAATAATAATTAAAATTTAGAACCGAATCCCAACACAACACCAGAATTCAACTTTTTATTCAAATTTAGTCTATTTTCACCAGATTTTTACTCGGAAAGTAAATAAAAATATAAAAGTTTAGTTGACCGCGCACGTAAGGGGACTGAGAATGACGCGCAAGAATGGCTTCAATTTCCGCCATGTTTGGCTTCACTTTTTGAGATCGAGTCAGCCTTCCATGTATGTAGTTCAAGGTTCCAAAAATGGCCACTGGGCGAATTTGTTCGCGCGAACAGTAAAAAAGTTGGAACTGATCCAACTTTCTCGCGGCCAATTTTTTCGCTGACCAATTACATTGCCAAGATTTATTTTCCCTTTCTCGTCGCGAGAAAAAATTCGCTTAGTGGACTGAGAACAAGCTTTAGGAGCTTACGAGATTGTATTTAAACTGGGGTAAGTTTTTAATGTGGAAAGATGAGGCCGTTTTTTATAGATCTTCAAGTTAAGGAGCAAGTCAGCATTTACCACTAATACTAAGTATAGTAGTGATTATTTTAAATGTACGCTCCAATTAAATGATCCAATCAGAATGCAACACGTAAACTTAAAAATCAAGCTTTTAAACGACGTTATACATAACTACTTTGCAGAATGCAGATAACTTTCGACATAACGAAACGGTGCCGGACAAAAATATGGTTACTAAATATAAAGCATATACATTAAGGGAGTTAAAGAAAGCTTTACAAATTTAAAATCCAACAAAGGTGACCTTAGTGAAATTAAATACGTCTCCCGCACATTGCGCGATAAGCTTCGTAATAACAACAACGAAGGGCTAACCTTTGACAGCAATGAGTCTTTCAATCACGACAATTATATATCGGACGCAACTTTTGCGGTTATATTAAAAACGTTATCAATAAGAAGGACTCAATATTATGCCATCATTTAACGTGACAGATTGCTTTACTAATTTTTTCTAAATCTCTGGCTAAAATTAATCCCAATTGACTGTTTACATTTCGAGCTGGATTCCAAAGTTATCTGATCCCGAAGTTCAATTCAAACTTGACACCCCCCTCCCCCACTCCGATTTAGCAACAAATTACTAATGTGATACGTAAAATGAAATCGTCTGGCTCTCCTTGCCCCCTTGATCAGCTTTCGATAATATGTTTTAATCGATGTCCTTATCTGAGAACTTACCTGAGTGAACTAATTCATGAAGTTTGGCTATCTGGAACTGTCCCGAATGAATGGAAAAAAGCCTGTACTATATTAAACATAAGACTCTGTGACGACCCGTCAAATTTCCGCCCCACAACACTTGAGTCCATACCATTAAAGTATTTACATTTTCGAAACGCAATATATTCCTTCCTCGATCGCATCCAATGACTTCATCGAACACGGCATAAAAAATGGCTTCACCTCTAACCTACTGTATCTGGCACTCTAGAACACACCGCGCAAATGGCTGACATCATCAACAAAGCCGGGATCAGACAACGCTCTATTGTCATCACCCTACTTGATTTGAAGAATGATTTCGGCAAAGTCCATAACAAACTGATCCAGTCAGTATTCGACTGCCACCACATCCCAGAACACATAAAATTTGTGAAACTGGGAAAATGGGATTTGGGTTGCTGGGACTGGGATTTGGTCACTGGGAATGGGAAATGAACTCCTCAAAAATGGGAATGAGATTGAAGTAATGCGAGTCGATTCCAAATTTTTCCACGTTTTAAGTATTTTAAAAAAGTTTATACACTTAGTTCCAAACCTCAATGATTAAGTCCGAATTCCAAACCCCTTTTATACCTGTTGGCCGTGACGTATTGCAAGGAGTTGGTCCTCTTCTTTTTAAAATGTGATTCAATACTTTTATCCAACATATCAAAGCTGAAATATACCGCCAGTCTGCTTCTCCTTCAAGCTATTGAATCCTATCCGCTGGTTCCAGTTCGCTGATGACGCAGCTGCCGTAATCGTTGGCCAAGAATCTGAAAACCAACATCTCTTAAATCGTTTTTCCATGTGGTGTGAATGGTCCAATATGATTATCAGAGTCGATAAATGTAGTACCTTTGGCATCAAGAAAGCCATAACAAAATCAGTCCAATACTTGCCAACCGAAACATGTCATCAACAATAATCTGATACCAACAATAAATATTGGAGAAGCATTTCAATATTTAGGACGTTTCTTTGATGTTAAAATGTTAAATGATGTACCATAAGACTGAACTAACCATTCTGGTTAATGAACTAATGACTGATATTGACTCGAAGCCACTCCACCCAAGAAATAGGCTTTTCGTGTACAGTCGTTATTCTTATTCACATGGTTTCTTATCAAAACTATGTGAATTTGGAACATGCGAATATGGAACATGTGATTTTTCACATGGGAACACATGTGAAATTATGCGTTTCACATGAGAAGTTTTACATGTGAAATTTCACATGTGAATTTGTAACATGTGATTTTTCACATGTGAACACATGTGAAATTATGTATTTCACATGTGAAATTTCACATGTGAAGTTTCACATATGAATTTGAAACATGTGAAACAATTTCACATGTGAAATTTCACATGTGAAAAATCACATCTTCCAAATTCACATGTGAAATTTCACTCATGTGAAATCAAGTGGAATTTTTGTAAGGGAAAACATGGGTTATTGAAAATATTGATCTCGTAGTCAACCAATACATTCGTAAATGGCTTGAAATTCCAATCTCAGGAACACTAAGTACCGTTTTTCTAACTTGCTACAAATTTGGTCCAAGTATTTATTCTCCATCGGTGAAATTTATGCAATGCCAAAAAGTTCTTCGAAAACCTTTAAAACGTTCTCCTAATCAGTCAATCAACGAACTGTAGAAATCTACTAATACTCATATTAATATCCAATACAACTTTTTCAACTCAACAAAAGAAGTACTTTAAAGACTTTCGGTCTGAACATGAAGATAAACTCCAAAACCAATTAACTTGTCAGGGATCCTTTTTCTCTAGTGTAACAAAGTTCTCCTTGTGGTATCTTAGCAAAGTGTGGTCTACTGCTCAATCAATACTTCCGAAAACATTTATAACTTTACCATACGCCATATCAATAACTCTCTTCCGACACGCAAGAACCTTGCCAGATGGGGATTGTCTTCATGCTCAGAATGCTCCTTTTGTCTCGGCCCAAAATCATTATTGCACATGTCAGTGTTATCTCGAATGATTTATTTGGGGGCACAATAAAATCCTGAACTTCCTTGCCAAAACCTTGCAAACTGTGAACGGTTCTGCCCTCTACGCCTGATGTGCCTGGATTCAAAAGTCCGTCAATAATAAGGGTGATACGTATCGCCCGGATTTGTTGCTATCGTTATTAAAAATAGCTCTATTTATGTGGTCGAGCTCACTGTTGGATATGAGACAAACCTCGAGAACAACGTTAAACGAAAAAAAAACAAATATAAAGAACTAGTAAAACAACGTACTAGATGAAAATTTTAACGAAGTAAACTTTATAATTAAATTTAATCTTTATTGTTAGCCACAATGTGTAAATGCTATTAAACCATTATTATTTATTTTTATTTTTATTTATTATTATTATTATATTAAATCTTCCCATGAGCTGCGTAGGTATTTTTAAGAAAGAATGCTCTACATTCTTAGAAATGTTAGGAAATGTTGGTCAGGACAAAAACTACCAAACGTACTGTGTTAGGAAAATGACGACTATTGCCATTCGAAGTACATATTATATTTTCTGCTTTCTGCTGTCGAAATAAGGAAAATAAAAGTCCGGACTTGTTAACTATTTGAAATATCTGATTGTTTGTTATTTAAAGGCTATATTTACATGTACTCTGTCGTATACAAGAACTCAAGCAACAGCGCGAAAATTCAAATTCTTTAACTGTAAAATAATTCTGATGAAGGCCTGAAGGCGTATCATCGTTCCAGCGAACAACGTGGTTAAATTTACTATAAATTCGCTGAACGTGGAAGTATGTCACGAATGCAGTTGTGATTCAGTTGAATTATTTGACGGCAACTCCGAATCTTCTAGAAGTCTTGGGAAATTTTGTTCAGGAGGAAGTTTGAAGCGAACTTCTTCTGGTCGATCTCTTTTTGTAAAGTTTACTTCAGATGAGTCGAACGTTGGAGATGCCTTCACAGCATCCTATCACATGGTAGCTGAAGGTAAGAATACTGTCGGTAAAAAAGTTTTAGGAAGTTTTAAAAGAGTTTTGAAAAGCAAGAAAAGTTTAAAAAGTTAGATTTTTAAAAAATTTAAAAAAATTTAAA